CCCCATAATCCTCACACACTCATTGTACTCCCCGTCTTCCTTCCTTAGCACTGTCTGCCCTTTCCCTGCTTCCCCCCCCCCCCCCCCCAACACAAGCTTCCCATCCCTGTGTCGACCTTCTCACTTCCCATTCACATTTTCTCTCCTGCTTCATACCTGCTTGATGGGGTTCTGGGAGTTGTTCTACTCCCCCAATCTTGTGAGAGCTTGGTCCAACAGGCTGTTATTTGCAGCGGCCCGCAGGCCCACTTACCCACCACAGCCCGGTTGGTCCGGCACTCCTTGAAGAAAACCATCTAGTTTTCTCTTGAAGATGGCCACGATTGTTCCGGCAATATTTCTTATACTCGCTGGGAGGACGTTGAACAACCGCGGACCTCTGATGCTTATACAGTGTTCTCTGATTGTGCCTATGGCACCCCTGCTCTTCACCGGTTCTATTCTGCATTTTCTTCCATATTGTTCTCTCCAGTAAGTTGTTATTTTACTGTGTAGATTAGGGTCCAGGCCCTCCAGTATTTTCCACGTGTATATTATTTGATCTCTCTCGTCTTCTTTCTAGTGAGTACATTTTGAGAGCTTTGAGACGATCCCAATAATTTAGGTGCTTTATCGCGTCTATGTATGCCGTATATGGTCTCTGTATTCCCTCTATTTCAACAATCTCTCCTGCTCTGAAGGGATTGAAGGAACTCCGTTCACACACTTTTTCACTCACTTTCCATTTTCCCTCTTCTCTTTTTCGCTCTCCTCAGTTCTTTTGTCTCCTGCCTTACTCCCTATTGTCTTCCTTTCTACGTTGTTCTCTTTACCATCATTTTCCCTTTGGCTGCTTTTTACCATATTTTTCTCTCCTTCATCCCTCTTTCCCCTCCTTTCACATCTCTTGTCACTCAGTCTTCCTGCTGTCTCCATCCCTCAGCTCTCCCTGCTATTCTTCCTCCTCATCTCTCCGTCCTTTCTACCCTTTACCTCTCCCAACTCCCCCCTTCTACTCCACCTGAGCTCCCCAACTCCCCCCTTCTACTCCACCTGAGCTCCCCAACTCCACCCTTCTACTCCACCTGAGCTCTTGCCACCCCCCCCCGGGAGCCTCTTGTCAACACAAGAGAGAGAGAGAGAGAGAGAGATATTGAGAGAGGTAGATAGATATTGAGAGAGATAGATAGATATTGAGATAGATAGATAGATATTGAGAGAGATAGATAGATATTGAGAGAGATAGATAGATATTGAGAGAGATAGATAGATATTGAGAGAGATAGATAGATATTGAGAGAGAGATAGATATTGAGAGAGAGATAGATAGATATTGAGAGAGATAGATAGATATTGAGAGAGATAGATAGATATTGAGAGAGAGAGATAGATATTGAGAGAGAGAGATAGATATTGAGAGAGAGAGATAGATATTGAGAGAGAGAGATAGATATTGAGAGAGAGAGATAGATATTGAGAGAGAGAGATAGATATTGAGAGAGATAGATAGATATTGAGAGAGAGAGATAGATATTGAAAGAGATAGATAGATATTGAGAGAGAGAGAGATATTGAGAGAGTGTGAGAGATATTGAGAGATATTGAGAGATATTGAAAGATATTGAAAGATATTGAAAGATATTGAAAGATATTGAGAGATTGAGAGAGAGAGAGATTGAGTCCGTCAGCCAGTCAGTCAGCAGTCGTCTGCTTGTGTACCCACGGGTGTAGAAAAACAAAGAGAGCGCGGGCGGCGCTACAATAGAAGGGAACAAATCACTGAAATGCGTAGACACGATTATCACAACAAAGGGAAATAAATGTAAACGTGGAGACCGAGAAAATAGAGCAGACGCTAAAGCGCTCTTACTAGCATGAGGAAATTAAATTGAAACAAAAAGCTATACAAGAGGAGAAGAATTGAACAATATTTGTTCACATATGCGAAATACAAATAAAAAAGCTCCACCAGTATTGGATCTATACTTAGAAGGGAAGGGTCATACTCAGATAATGACAAAGAAACTAGTGAAATCTTTAAAGAACAATAGGAAGGTATTGGTCATATTCTTCATATTCCCATTTACCAAGGAATATAAAGTTATGTTTAGCATCCCAATAAACAACTTGAAAGTTAAAGTTCCGGGCAGTTTTGTTATGAATGTTATCCAAACCCCAGACACTATAACTGATGTTATTGATAAGTGTGGGCATGGAGTGATGGGCCATAAAATGAGATAAGTAGGAATAACTGGTAAAGCAGGGCGTTGCATTTTACATTATCTGTCAAACAGAATGCAAAGAGTAACAGCCAGTCAAATCAAGTCCATGCGCAGTGTAAAGCTCTATACTCCAGGACTGTGTCCTGGGGTATAGAGGTCGCAAGGACATTGATTCTCTGAACCAACAACACGTAACCAAAAGGTACCCCCGTGGCAGCTAACTTTCAAAAATGTTTATTTTGTCTTGAGAGAGGAAATTTGAAACACACCGGACGAGTCCTTAGACTTTTATTACAAGTGTGGGAATCAGTAAAAAATAATTACACTAAAATCTTCACCACAGTAAAATCATTCCAAGATAGATAGGTAGTCACACTAAAATGATAATTATAACCTCTAAATACCATCATAACCAACGATGGTATTCATTAAAACACTAGTGCTATCTAGTGTGGGATGTTGTTTACACAGACAATCCTATTCATTGCTGGAGGACTGGCTCCACTGCTCAACGTGCAGAGAATTTTTACTGCCCAAAGCCACCCAGTCCAACATTTTTAATTATTGCGACCTCTTGAAGTCCCTCAAAGTGTACTTCAAATGCAGGCGAGAAAGATGTATCATAATTTACATTTAGTAAATATTAGAGGGAATGGTTCAAACTCTCCACAGTGAACAAATTCCTTTGAGTCCAGGAGTCATGGCAGAATGTGCAACATTGCCTCGTTGAAAAAGTATAGGTGCAATATGTACTCATTAAGAGAAAATTCTGTGAACATTAGAAGTACAGAAAACACTCCTTGTAGGATGTCAGAGTACTGGAATCTGTCAGAATACTGAAGGTCCAAAGATGTGTCACAAGACTAGTACGGGAAATAAGAAGTTAGAGCTTCAAAAATAGGCTAAAGAATTAAATCTTGAAGCCCTGTCGGAGAGAAGACCCAGAGGAAACATGATTCAGTCGTGTAAGATACTCGGGAGTATAGAGAAGGTGGACAAGAACGAGACGCGACACGTGGAAATGGTAAAGCAGAAAGACCGCTAAGATATAACATCAGACCCGGTTAGTATCCTCGTGTGTAATAGAAGTAGAGTTAGTTAAAGCATAAACATTACAACTTCACAGCCAGATATGGTAAAGACGTGGACCCAAGAGATATTGCTCTCTACCTACAAGTACACTGATAAGAACACAGGCGCCCACTAGCGCGCGCGTGCACACTCAAGAGCATTTGTACACAATGGCGGGCTGGCGTCACCGCCTCCGCCTCTTATTTGGCGCCAAAGCTCTTCCCGCCAAAAAAACATGGTAAATACCCCCACTAGTCTCAACACTTGTATAATCCCACTTTATACAAGAGTATCACCATTACATGCACAGTGTGTGTATCACTGTTATCAGAAGGGTGTGTATTATTGCTGTATACGGACGGTATCACTGCATACAGGGGGTATATATAATCACTGTTCACAAGGTATAACTGTGTACAGAGGGTGTGTATCATCACTATACAGGTGGTATGTATCGTCTGCATGCAAATGGTATGTATCGTCTGCATGCAAATGGTATGTATCGTCTGCATGCAAATGGTATGTATTATCACTCCAAATTGTATGTATCATCATTATAGAGAGGGTATATATTATCACTATACGGAAGGGTTAACTGTATATAGAGGGTATGTATCATCACTATACAGATGGTATGTATCATCACTATGTAAATGTTATGTATCATCAGTATACAGTGTATATATATTATCACTGTAGGGAAGGGATAACTGTATACAGAGGTTATGTAACATCACTATATGGAATATATCACTGTATACATAGGGTATGTATTATCACTATACCCAGTGATAGTATAGTGTATCCTGCAATGCCTCCTGGTCTCCACATGAGACCATGGGGCCAGATTCACGAAGCAGTTACGCAAGTACTTATGAACGTGTACATCTTTCCTCAATCTTTGACGGCTTTGGTTACATTTTTTAAACAGTTTACAAGCATGAAAACTTCCCAGTCAACTGTTGTTATTGTTATAAACAGCCTCCTGGTGCTTCAGAGCTCATTAACTGTTTAATAATTGTAAACAAAGCGGCAAAAGATTAAGAAAAGATGTACAGGTTCGTGAGTGCTTGCGTAACTACTTCGTGAATCTGACTCCAAGAGGCATGGCAGGACGTGCAAATTAGTATAGTTGAAAAGCAGAGGTGCATTAGGTACGCTGAGAGAGAACTGTCAACATCAAGGGCCCGAGACTTTTCAACACTCCAGCTACACATAAGGGGCATTACTGGCCGACCCCCTCTGTGTTCAAGAGAGAACTCGATAAGCACCTCCAAAGGTGCTTATGACCATCCACATCCAACAGTGTGGTTGACCAGTCCAGAGGTCTGGTCAACCACATCACAGAGGTTAAGAGTAGTGGTGCCATAAGCACAGAGAACACTGTATGAACATCAGAGGTCCACGGTTGTTCAATCTCCTCCCAGCAAGTATAAAAAATGTTGCCGGAATAAAAGTAAAAATCTTCAAGAAAAACCTTGAGAGTTTTCTGCAAGAAGGGTCGGACCAACCGGGCTATAGTGGATATGTGGGCCTGCGGGCCGCTCGTAGCAACAGCCTGTTTGACCAAGGTCTCACAAGTCCAGCTCAGCCCCAGGCCGGGCTTGAGGAGTCCCTAAACCAGGTACCACCAACCATGAGGCATTGTTGTTGCTCGTTGTTTATTGTAAGCCTTGTATGTTGATCATCATAAAAGTGGTTACTAAGATGTGTTGTGTTGTGTTGCAGGTACAGCAGCGAGATGTGCCGGGCATCGACGCAGCTTACCTCGCCATGGACACTGACGAAGGCATGGAGGTGGTCTGGAATGAGGTGCGGTACTCCCCTTCTACGTGTCCTTACCCCTCCCACCTGCTTCCCCGACTCATCAGTATCCAGCATCCCTCCCACGTGTATTTGATTAATCAGCAGTGTGCGTCTTAGGTCCTTCCCATCATCTTTACACCTTACGTTTGCCTCTGACCCTTATGTGTGTGTGTCCTCCTGATCTCTTCCCTGTAGCTGACTCACTAGTCTGTCCCTCTAACTCCTCGTCTGCATGTTTCCCTTCGTCACCTTACGTGATATTCCTCATCTATGGCTCTTAATCCTTCACCTGTGGCTCTGTAGTTCCTCACCTGTGACTCTATAGTTCCTCACCTATGACTCTATAGTTCCTCACCTGTGACTATAGTTCCTCACCTGTGACTCTATTGTTCCTCACCTGTGACTATAGTTCCTCACCTGTGACTCTTCAGTTACTCACCTGTGACTATAGTTCCTCACCTGTGACTATAGTTCCTCACCTGTGACTCTATAGTTCCTCACCTGTGACTCTTCAGTTCCTCACCTGTGACTATAGTTCCTCACCTGTGACTCTTCAGTTACTCACCTGTGACTATAGTTCCTCACCTGTGACTATAGTTCCTCACCTGTGACTCTATAGTTCCTCACCTGTGACTCTTCAGTTCCTCACCTGTGACTCTATAGTTCCTCACCTGTGACTCTATAGTTCCTCACCTGTGACCCTTTAGTTCCTCACCTCTGACTATAGTGCCTCAGATATGTCCCTCAGATGCTCAACTGTCCCTCTGGTCATATTCTTATCCATCATAAATAACGAACATAGAGCGACAGAAGCATAGGTCTGTGTACACAATTTAGAATTACAGTTTCCACCCCCCCCCCCAGGGTGTGTTTACACCCCCAAAGATGTGTTGATGTTAGAAATTAGACCGGTAATGATGTGTTTTGTATTGCATACTTTTAAGGTCACGTTATTACTTAGTGCAGACCTTTTTTATATTTTGTACAAGGTAAGTCCCATGAAAGTTTACGAAGCATATAACAGCAGCAGCCGCAGCATGGTAACTAGGGAAGGTGTTGACGAACGTGTTAATGAGGCCGACGTAGCAAGGGCCATCGCCACTATCCTCAGTTGTCTCTTGTGAATATATCTGCCACACTGTTGTTGTTGTTATAGATTAAGCTACTCGGAACCAGTTCCAAGTAGCACGGGCTGTGGTGAGCCCGTAACTTGCCCCGCTCCTGTGCCAGGTAAGTAGCACGGGCTATGGTGGTGATGCTAAAGATTCGCTACCTGGAACAAAGTTCCAAGTAGCACGGGCTATGGTGAGCCCGTAGAGTAGCCTGTAGTGAACTTACCTGGCACAGGAGCGGTGCTGTGCTGCCACACTTTTCAAGGTCCACTGGCGCTTCTTAGGCCTTCGAATTTTATGTATTCGCCTAGTTGTGCTTGCGGGGGTTGAGCTTTGGCTCTTTCGGCCCACCTCTCAACGGTGAATCAATCAATGGATTTTTTCTCTCTCTTACACCCCCTTCCCCCCGGGAGCAGCCCGTATTCCCCTAACAGCTGGCCCACATATCTATTTACTGCTAGGTAGCAGGTTCATCAGGATGAAAGAAACTGCCCATTCTGTGTGTGTGTGTGTGTGTGTGTAATTACCTAAGTGTAGTTACAGGATGAGAGGTACACTCGTGGTGTCCCGTCTTCCCAGTACTCTTTGTCATATAACACTTTGAAATTTCTGACGGTTTTGGCCTCCACCACCTTCTCACCTAACTAGTTCCAACCGTCTACCACTTTGCAGACGAGGAGTCACAATAACGTGGCTGAAATATGTTGACCAAACCATACACTAGAAAGTGAATAGATGACGATGTTTCGATCCGTCCTGGACCATTGTGATACAATTGTGATCAATCGATCGTCGTCGTCTCTTCACTTTCGAGTGTGTGGTTTGGTCAATGTCTACCACTCTGTTTGCAAAGGTGAATTTTCTTATTTCTCCAGCAGCTTTCTGTTTGGAAAGGTGAATTTTCTTATATTTCTCCAGCAGCTTTGTTTTGTTAATTTAAATCCTCAAGAACCACTTGAAGTTTCAGGTCTCGGGAATTCTTCCCTATCAATTTCATCGATTCCTGTTACTATTTTGTACTTAGTGATCATATCTATTTTTCGTCTATCTTTTAGTTTTGGAATTTTTAATGCCTCTTATATCTCCTTGTAGCTCATGTCCTTCAGTTCTGGGAGCCACTTGGTGGCATTAAATGTGTACTCACCTATTTGTGCTTGCGGGGGTTGAGCTTTGGCTCTTTGGTCCCGCCTCTCAACTGTAAATAGACAATAAAACACACAATTATGTGTGTGTGTGTGTGTGTGTGTGTGTGTGTGTGTGTGTGTGTGTGTGTGTGTGTGTGTGTGTGTGTGAGAGAGAGAGAGAGATATATATATATATATATATAGATAGAGAGAGATATATATAGATAGAGATATATATAGATAGAGATATATATAGATAGAGATATATATAGATAGAGAAATATAGATAGAGAGATATAGATAGAGAGATATAGGTAGAGAGAGATATAGGTAGAGAGAGATATAGATAGAGAGAGATATGGATAGAGAGAGATATAGATAGAGAGAGATATAGATAGAGATATAGAGATATAGAGAGAGAGATATAGAGAGAGAGAGATATAGAGAGAGAGATATAGAGAGAGAGAGAGATAGAGAGATAGATAGATCGATCACCTATGTGTATACTCGTCTATTTATGCCTTTAGAATCTAGTTCTAGTTCTTGGACTTTGCTTTTGTAGCTACCGGTTGGTTAATGTAATGACTCCTGACCTATTTTTCCTGTCATATCAGTTGTTAAAGTTATGAATGGCGTTAGTCTCTACAAGCCCTCTAGCCACTCATCCTGTTAGTGCCTTGTAGGTGGCAGTCTGCTTTACGTGTCAGGTTCCTTTATGAAGACGGTTATGGAAAGGTCAGCTGTGCCGGGAGTGTTCGAAAAAGTAAAGGCTTTCATGTTGGGTATCCCTGAACACATTACGGTGTTCAAAAGATAATATCATGTGTTTTCCATAATTTGAGAAGCCCGTGAGATATGAAGAGGATGCCTTTATTTGTGTATTGTGGTGCAGGGAAGGTGCTCATTGTTATTGGACCATGTAGCCCCCCCCCCACCCTACCCCAGGCTGGCAGATTATAGAAGCATTTTGACACATGGCCAGGAATGTGGTGGGAAACCCTGAGCGGTATCATGAAAACACGTGAACATAGCCAAGTTGCTGCAAACTTTCTCAGGCGTGCCTTGATACCAGGAGAAGCTCTCAGTAGCCTCCATAACAAGTTTGGAAGTGGCCAACCTTACCCATCCTAAGGTTACCTTGAGGTGGTTCCCAAGATCAGCGCCTGACTGCGGCTCGGCCTCTGGACAGGCCGCCTGCTTCACAATCTGGCCAAATGGCGTGTAAAGTTTGGAATTTATATGTTTCTGTACCATACTATGTACCATGAAATTTTCATAGCACATCATACACGGGTTTGGCACAGACACGCCCATTTTTAGATTAAACTTGAGAAAGAAAAACAAAAATTCATAATCTGTTGATATTTAAAAATGGGGTATGTATATATATATATAATATATATATATATATATATATATATATATATATATATATATATATATATATATATATATATATATATATATATATATATATATATATATATGTAATTTTGGGAAGAAATAACCCACGACCTGACAGATATAAGCTGGGAAGAACAGCTAGACAATGTAAGTCAATACTTGGAGAGACCAGGCACAGCTGCTGGACCACTGTGACAGATGCTGTGGAAGATAAGCAAAACGCTGGTGTAATATACACAGATTTCGCAAAAGCCGTCGACAAATGTGACAATGGAATTATTGCGTACAAAATGCGTTCAAAAGGATTTACTAGGAAAATAGAACTTCCTAACTCACAGAACCCAGAGATTAATAGTCAACAAAGTAAAATCCGGATCATCCACCGTGAAAAGGTCAGTTCCCCAGAGAACTGTGCTTATTCTGGTAACTTTTATCATCCACATATCAAGACATACGCGAGGATACACCTATAGTACTGTATCATCCTTTGTAGATGACACTAGGATTTTTATGAGACTTGATAACCAAGTTATCACAAGTGGAGGGGCGGGCTTGGTGAACAGAAGGACTCCCAAGCCCTCTCCAGATATGCTCCACAGAAATACAAAATAAATTTACACTTGGAAAATTAGAGGGACTGGTTTCAAATGTGCATAGGGAAATAACTCCCTACGAGCTCAAGAGGCATGGCAGCAAGTGCAATGCCTCCTGTTAAAAGCAGAGACGTGCTAGGTACACTAAGAGGCAATTCTAGCCACGTGAAGGATCCAAGACTTATCAACACTCTCCCTCTACACATAAGGGGACATGACTGGCCAACACCTCATGGTGTTCAAGAGAGAACTTGATGGAAGCGTGTTGAACAGTCTCGGGCCTCATGTTGATAGAGTTCTCTGAGTGCCTGTTACACCTTTGCTCTTCAACGGGGGTATTCTGCACATCCTGCCATGCCTTCTGGTCTCATGTGATGTTATTTCTGTGTGCAGGTTTGGGACCAGTCCCTCTACTATTTTCCACGTGTAAATTATTATGTATCTCCCGCCTGTTCTTTTTGCCTCTAAAATAGATTTTATAAGTTATATTTAAATAAATGCTGCTGCTGCTGCTATTTCGTCGCCTGAAATTGCTGTTACATGTCGGTCATCTGTGTGTTTTGTTTACTACTACACCACACCGACTCAACCCCACACCCACACACCACACCCACACACCACACCCACACACCACACCCACACACCACACCCACACACCACACCCACACACCACACCCACACACCACACCCACACACCACACCCACACACCACACCCACACACCATCACACCGGGTGTGGGTGTGGTAGTGACACCTGGGGGCTGGGTGGCCGA